CTTACAGAGTCTCTTTAAGATATTATAATATATCTTATAATTTATCTTCTCTCACTTGAATATCTTCTTCTTCTCTCTCTTCAATCTGTAATAGTACTCACACACCTTGATGATCTGCAGAACTGCAGAATATTTGAAGAGAGATAATATAATTGATTTCAGTAAGTATTGAAGAGAGATGAAGATAGAAGAGACAGTCAGAAATAATATAATAATAATAATAATAATAATGATAATGATAATAATGATAGTAATATTAATGATGATAATGATAATGATAATAATAATAATGATGATGATGATGAAAGAGAGAGTACATTGAAATATATTACTGACTTATCAAATATAAAGAGACTCAAAGAAAATATTAACAGCTTTCAGTAATATACAGAAACAGCTACAGTGTTGTATAGTAACATTATCTTTATTTAATACATGCACTGTTAATATTCTTTGTATACAGTTATTATATAATCTGTATCAGAGATATATGCAGAAAACAGATCTTTATTACTAGAATAAATGATTACAGCAATTCTCTGTTTTCATATTATAAAGATAAGTTATTCTCATTTCTTTCTTCTCTCATTTCTCTTCTTCAATCAATCACTAATTTCAAGCTGATATGAAAACTATTAAAACACTCTCAGAAACTCTCAAATTGAAGAGTATAGACTAATCAAATTTTAAATACAGAAGAAATCAAATTATCTTCTAGATTCAATTACTTACTCTCTTTTAAATAAAACAGCAGTTGCATTCTCTCTCTCTCTCAATTAAATAAAACATGGCCTGTGAAAAGCAAGTATCATATCAGATTATAATGATCAATACAGTCTCAGCATGCAGAGCTGTATATATACAGTGTATACTGAACTGAGAGACTGCATGAGTTACAAACTGATAACAGCATCTCAGAGAGAGTCATACAGTGTGAGAAAGTCACAACTCTCAGTTACATGCACAGAGAATGAATTATCACAGTAAGTGTATATATATTGAAGTAATACTTTTTAATAATACTCAGTCTCTGATATGATGAAAATAGAGTCTCTCTGTAAGATCTGTTTTTATCAGAAGTCAGAGAATCTTATATTTCTCAAGATTATCTTTACATGTCTTATTCATGAAATTGATAAAGAGAATTATCAATTTCAGTGTTCTACTCTTAATATTATTCAAGTGACAGCAGAGTTCACTCTGATCACACTTTTTAAGTGTATATTTTCTAATTATTCACATTTATATAGATATATACTGATTATTTATTAGATAGTATTAAGACAATAACTCATTACAGCTGTGTTACTCTCACTGTGAGAGATATACAGTTAATAATGAATATTATAAAGACTCTGAAGAGTGAGTATTTTAAAAGTACTGCAGCTCTATGATCTTAATTTTTTTTTATTTTTGTTTTTTATTTTTTTCTTTTTCTTTTATTTTTTTTTTCTTTCTCTTTCTTTCTCTTTTTTTCTTTCTCTTCTTTTTTTCTTTCTCTTTTTTTTTTTTTTGTTGTGATTTTTTCTTATTGTTTTATTTTTTATTTTTTTATTATTTTTTATATTTTATATTTTTTTTTAATTAAAATGATATTAATTATGATCTGTATTTAGAAAAGTAATAATATTTAATAACACTCTCTATTGAATTTTCAATAAATAAGCACTATATTATAATATTATGTAAGTGAGAAATGATTTCATAGTCTTATTTAGTATTATTTTCAATAATAAGATCAGAATAAAAATATGACTAAAAATTCAAATATATTCTTTATCTGAGACTAGATTTTTATTTGAAAAGTGAATCTGAAATCTTTAATATTTGAAATAATGTGATTTGAAATCAATGTGATGAACATAAACTATGATCAGAAGTAATACTTTTAGATAATATGATAACTGTAAAGTTTGATTCTGATCTCAGACACAGTCACATGATCAGTCTACTTATAACTATAATAACTTTAACTTTATAATCTCATTATTATTTATCTTATCATTCTTCTCTTTACTCTTCAGAGTTATAAATATTATCTGTTTCTTTTTAACTGAATTGAATAGCTTAGCTATCTAACTCAGCTTTATACTGATAATCTGCTTCTTTCTCTTTCTCTTTCTCTTCTTATTCTTCTCTATAGTAATTGTATTGATAGAAGTAGCAGTCTACTGATTATCTGTTATTTACATATCAGTATATATATTTTATATATATATTTTACTAATGAATTTATATGCTGTAGAAATAATTTATTACTTATCAGATTATAAGTTACAGTGTTTACTTAGTAAATTATAGTAATAATTTACATAGACTCTCTTCAATATACTAAAGACTATAATATACTTAATAAACAGATTATAACTCTTCTCATATAAGCTGTATAATAAAGTGACTTTGATATTATAACTATAAGTAAGTGCTGATTCTATATTTATTATTCTTTTTAGTTAAGACTTAAAATTCTTCTTATATAGTACTATATCTCTCTTAGACTTCATCTATTATAGCTGTATAATAATCTCACTACTATTCTTGATAATCTGTTCTAGCAGTAGTTATAATCTATATTTAGATATTCACATGTTGACAGACTGCTGATATAACTGCTGAGAAATGAGTATAGATGAGTTAATAAGCTGCTGAGACTGCTGAGAGTGAGATAAGAATGAGTTAGTGAATGATGTGAACTGCTGAGTCTCTAGAGCTTACTAGACTTACTCTGTACTATTATTAGCTGTAATTTCATCATTTCTGAGCTGTTTTTTTTGGATTTTTTGATAGTTCTTTACTTATATTCAGTCATTTTATCTGCTTTGATATTTTAAGGATTGATAGATATAAATTGTGATATTTTAAATACTTACTATTTGATTATAATTGCTATATTCTCTACATAAGCTGTCTGATATTTAATTACATCTCATTTAGAGCTTCTATATTTACTCTACAACACTACTACAGTGTTATTCATCTTTTTCATCTATGTGATTGTTCTCTATTAACATATTAACAGCTGTGGATTATATGGAATTCACCTATACAAGTCACATACAGTTGTTCATATCTCATTACATTCGCCTGAGGGATTAAACAGTGTGTTTTTCAAGCTGAATAAGCGAGCGCAAGCGAGCGATTGAGGCTTGTATACATGAATCAACAACCCAAAACTCTCAAATTTCACTAACAAAGGAGCAGTCTCCCCGCCAACTTGTGCCCTGAAAATGCTCCATCGGAAATTAATGTGCGCCAGACTTCAACGGCTTGGACATGCGCTTCAGATATTGGCAAAGTCAAGAAATGATCACTTACAGAGGACTTGATATATATCCTGGCATTGGAGGGCTGGATTGCTGATCCCGTTCCCGTACGGAACCCCTCGCTGGAGATCTTCCATGCAGAGTGATCTTCCTTCTTGTCATCTGGCATCGGATCTTTTTAGATAACGTCCGTTAATCGAGATCGCTCTGCACGCCAATTTAGTACACGATCTCCGAAGCAAACAAGACAAACATATGGGAAGTTCGGAGTAGTCTTTCAGAGCCACCAAATGGGCGGGATATAAACCTGACAGGCAAAGAAATTCAGGCAGAAAATATGCTATTGTGAAGACTACTGGCAGATCTTCTATACAGAACCCGAAGAAGATGCGCAACAGGCTGACCCTGAGGGCACATCAATCCCAGTCCAAGGCCTTGTGAAATGAAAAGACTAAGATTCCATACTCCGTATGCATCGGCATGAAGTGGATATAGGGAACGTCTGAGTGGGCTCTCAGAATTCCGGCTTTCGCAGCTGTTGTCAGTATTATGCATTTATATTCCCTATTGATCTCTTAAATCTGTGCTGGACAACACAACACCCCGTTCTTTGCCTTGCAGCTAGTTTATCGGCCCAGCCCGCAAAACAGCACATCTGTGTGGTAAAGGCTGAAGGCCTTGACGAGGGGGAAGAATCCAAGGGGATGTTGTCATCATGCTCTGATAGAGGTTATTCTCAAGAGCATCTTGAAGCACATTCCTAAAAGGCCCCAAGCTGCTCTCTTCGAAGCCCTTCATAACGATATCCATGAACATACATAACCCTTGAGAATCTTGGTTCCATGCAAAACAATCATGGATCAGGTGTTCAGTGAGGGCTCACTAAGCGCGAGCCATTGGCACCTTGATGTTTCAACCACCTACCGGCTGATTGGAGTAAATATCGACAGGTTATTGCCATTTGAGATCCGCAAGCACCTTTACAGCTATTCAAGCCAGCCACAATCCTGCCTACCACCTCCAGACAGAAGTCATATGCATATTCCAAGACCTCGAAGTGGGTTCCCGATTCCGGAAAATAAGATCTCAGGCTGTTATCCGCTACCATTATCACACAGGCACCACTGTGAGGGTTTTTAGATATCTATGATGACTGGACGAAAGGGAATCAACGTCTGGGCGGCTAGATACCCAGCTCCTGTTCCAGTTATATTCCTTCAGTGCGATTTGCAGGGGATGTGAGAAGGATTGATGCTAAACATACAACGCCAAACACGAGGGCAAACCAATGCACTAGAAAAATTCAATCTTCAGAACGAAGTCCCTCATCTTAAAAAAATGAGATGCTCCTCTATTTCACAAAACAAGTTCTCTAGATATGTCCGCCTGGCCCTTCAAACATGGCATAAAGACACTGGCCATTTCTACGCTGCCAGATATATGACCTGGAAGATTATACTCTACGTGTTCATACCTATAACTCGGTATTTAGCTACTCAAATGGTCAATTCCAGGTAAATAGAGGCATTGGCATTGGCAAACTGTTCCAGATGGCTGCTGAAACATCGTATTATTTGGTTCTGCGGAATCATCAGAACGCCTTAATTGATTGCAATGCATTTTGGTGCAGACATATAGTTAGCCTCATCTTAGAATAACTCTAGAATCAAGTCTATATTTAGCTAGTGACACATATAAATAATATATGAATTCTAGATTTCAAATCAGTCGCACGAGTATCTTTTACAAACGTTGAACAGTTAACTACTCCGGATCATTTCACTTTTAGAAGAAAAGAATGCTGATTTTATCATATCTAAAACTATTCTATGACTACATATATATCTTTTGATAAACAAAAAGCCCTGTTTTAGGGATGTGCTGTTAACAATGGATCCCTCACTGAGCGGGTGGTTTAGACAAACAGACTGAGATATAAAGCAATCTATATTTACATTTCTATACTGTATACACTGAACTAGAGCTGATCAAATGCCACCAGCTATAAGAACTACAGACAATATGCAGACACCTAATTCTAAGCAAGCAACAAACATCAAATGTCTATATGCCTTTCTACACCTCCCTGTGAAAAAGTAGACAAATGGACAAATGGCCAAATGCCACATGCAAATCCTCACGGTGCCCAAGATGGAATTAGTACAGGTACAGTTAGGATCAAAACGCCAAAAACTCCCAGGCTCGTTACAAAATTTGCCCATTCCCTCATATAAAATATTCTGCAGGCTTAGCTCTTCATATTTGGATGGCCAACTTCATCGCTGGATATTTTATGCGATGTGTCCCATTGACCATAGGGGAAAGCTTGTGCCGGCCGTGTAGGTCGGGTAATCGGTTGGAATGGCGGGCTGTCATTAAGATTTTGATGGTGTTCCCCTCCTATATCGCTTCCATCCCGCGCGTCTTCCGACTGCACTGTGATGGTAACATCCTGTCTGATATGCAACGAACGCACCGAATTGTCGTCATCACTGCTAATTGCGGTAGGGCTGTGATGGCCTTTTCCATTCATGGCGGACTTTCCTGTGTCGACTGTTGATGTCAATCGGGTGAAGGATTGTAGGTTGTAATCCATAGACTGAAGTGCTCCTCGTGACGAGCGCCCTGGTGCAGATAGTGATGCTCCAAGGCGACCTGTTGGACCCGATCCTCCACTGGACCAATTCTTGAGTGCGGGGAAAATGTCGCGCAGCAAAGACCAAGTGAGAGGTAGATTTGTCACGAGCACTGCAACAGTGGCCTCTCGGAAGTACCAGTTCAAATAAACGTAGGAGATCAACGAGGGAACGAGGCAGTATATTTTGGTGAGGAGGGCGGCTATGATGACGAATATGCCGAGCCCGAAGATGAGAAGCAGGATGGCTTTCTGTTTCAGCGGTAGGCGGACAGACATGAGGAGCGGGATGCCTACGAGAAGCATAAATATGTCGCCGGTGATGCCTATGCAACCGTTGACAATTTCGTAATACTGGTAGGACGAGCACTGGTCTGTATTTAAGTTAGCGTTCACTCCCCGCCAAAAAAGGGAAAGGAGCAGCTTCTATCAAGCACGAACAGTTTGGTGTGGGCACCGCCCAGTGATCCGTGATCGGTCGACATATGAGAAAAAGCGCAAGTTCACTTCCGACGAATGACCCTGCAGTGTATATGGCACAGTAGTTAACCAATTTTCGGTGGCGCAATCCGTTCCTATTCAAATTACACATTAGCAAAGCCAGCGGCACTTAACGGGTTTTGCTTGGGATTTTGCGCAGAAACCCATACCCAGTTAAGGAAGTGGTTCCCTTACGTGATACGCCCATATATTATTAACATGCAAAACTTCATGGTCCAGATGGTGAGGACCATCATGTGTTCAGAGACATATACCCATTTACTCCCACTGATACGCGCTGCCGTCGTCTCAGGAGTGAGTGCCAATATTTCTTCTTCGGATAACAGGTTGGAGCCTCCGCCACTAATGACTTGGTTTATCGAAACGCATAGAAGAGTAAACCAAAAGACAACTGTGAGCATGAGGTAGTCGTCTAATTGCAAGCCGCCAAATCCAAGTCGCTTTACGCGGGCAACGCTGTCATAATATTAGCATCGGAAACGTTATATTTACTCGATATGGAGGCAGACGTGGTGCACTGCAGTATGGAATAGCACTACTTACCCCCGACAGGCAATAGCAAGCATGCCCACGCCATATAGTGTCCATGTCTCAGTCTTGAAGTTTTGAACAAATTCGGGGTCCGATAAAGACATCTTCGCCCACTTTCTCTGGCTTTTTGGATTTCAAACTCCTTATAAGCTTGATATGCTTTCCGAGAGGGACCAGTTTCTCACTCAAAAAGGGTATAATCAACCACGTTTCTGCCTTCATCGAAAGTACCAAGGGGTAGAAAGGCAAGAGGAGAGAATCACGGCGAGGATCCAGGGTTTAAGAGAAATCCGATTAAATGCACCCAGTGCCATGGGCTGGATGGACCTCTTTCCCTTCAGTTTGGTTCCTTGTAATCCGAAAATACTCCCTGTTATTTTAGTCTAGAAAAAAATCGACTTATGTATGCAGGCTGCTAAAGAAGGAAGGAGAACGCAATGAAGAAGGTGGGCAACAGTTATTATTTGAGTGCTTCCCAAACGCCTTGCCACATGCGGTGACTAACACGGCTGATCGTCTACACTGTTCATGTTGATCCTGGCATATCAAGAAAGAGGGGCCCAGCGATGGCGCCAGACGGGGGGGGCCTTGGAACATATAATTGGCCTATCCGGTAGTAAAAATGAGAGGGGAGGGAAGATATGCTCCACACCTGGAAAGGTGGACAAGTCAAACCTACTTATGGCTGCCCATCAGACCCAGTTTTCTCTCGAAAGATACAAGAGAAGGGCATCGTGGGAGAAAAAAAAATATCAGTAGCAGTCAAATTCATAATAACCAAATTACTGAAACCCAAGATCCCTGGAGATTGTCACTTTCCAGCCGGGGATGGAGGATTTTGGGGACAGGGGCAGCAGGGCGGGCTGGCCTCCAAAGGGCTGTGACTGCGATGCTTCGACTGAGTCCGGTTGCAGGTTTAAGAATTGGAACCCAGGGAACCCCTTTTCCGCGCGACGCAACGCCAAACTCCGAGCTGAGACTCTTCTCTCTGATTTGGCCTTCTTCTTCATCCCCTCTCCACAAGGGCCTGGATGGGAACCTGGAAGTGCATTAACCAATGGAAATCAAGCTAGGGGCCAGAGGAGAACAGCCATAGTTAGTACCAAGAGTTATTAATAATGAAGCTTGAAACCTCGCTTAAAGCCAGCAGCCGAGTCGGGTAACTGGAGCTCGGCAGCTGGCTGGCTGTGGGTGATTTTGTTTGAGAAAAAGTCCGGATGCAGGATGTCTTTCATGGTCGGCTTTGAGATTTATCCTCCATTCCACATGGTTTGTGGGGAACATGAAAAAGAAAAATGAAATGAAATCCCAAGAACGCTGCCAACAGATCGCCAGCGAGATGGGACATCTGGGGGGAGGGAGGCCGATCGATTTGTGTCGATGGTCGGGCTAGGGAAGAGCAGATCGCGCGTGAGAGAGAGCATTGATGAGAGGTTTGTGGCCGGTTGGACTCTTTGCGCAGATCGATCCATGTCAATCTCCCCTTGGCATGCGTGTTATTCCAAGCAAAAGATCTGATCCGGAGCATCATGTTTTTTTTCCTCTGTGACCGTCAGCCAGTGCCGAGGGGCGATGGCTGGAATAACTAAGCGGGGGAAGCCACACTTAATCCCCCCTCGGTCGCTCACACGGCTCCGATCCCTCATGGGCCAACAACATCCGCCCGCACTTCCATGACAGTAGTAGTCCCTGGCAGTTCCTGGATGCTGAGTCTGGTGAAGTCACAGCAACATAACATGGTTCTGATGGATTCATTAGAAAACTTCCTGGCGAGAAGGCACAATTCTTCGCATGTGAACTAAAAATGGCGTCGATGTACTGTAGTTTGCGCGTATGGGGCCCGGGTTGGTGGCTCCTTGGCTTCACTTTTATTAACTTCCTATGTTTCGCCAATAACTAATGGTGAAGTTAACTATACTTAATCGGTAGCAAGTGGCACAGTGGGTAAACTTACTGACTGCTTGAGGAACTTTTCGTGGGTTTCATTCACCTTATCATATTTCTTCTTGACGAAAACAAATGGCAGTCAAGGTCATGGTCAAGGGACAATGTCAGGATGGGAAATTGTTGGAGGGGATGAAAATGTGCGCGTTAATATTGTATAACCTTAACTACTCCATCCAGCCTTGACTGCAACATTTTCCTGCATCAGTTATTTGCTACCGCGGATAGAAAACACCACAGAACCTTTGGGATGTCTACAGTACGTACAGTACCTTGCCCCTTCGACATGGACATGAAGAAATAAGCTGAAACCGCGCTCCATCCAATGATGCGACGCATCTTCAGGAAAACAAAATAAATATCTTCATCTTAGCCCGTCGTGCTGCTTGCAGGGCGCCAGCTCATTCTCGGATCTTGGGCCATTCATTTTTGGCTATCAATTGTTGTTACCAATCCAATCCTCCGTCTTTGTTACAGTGGTAAATGAGATCAAATTGCTTTTCTATTTCAAAATTTTAGATTTTTGGAAACCGGCCAATCGATGGGCATGATCCTTGCTGAAAAGACTTATTTAAGTTATTTGTTGTTAACTCTGTGCTATCTCCAAAAACAGCAGAAGAAGAATAATAAGAAGAAGAAGAAGAAGAAGAAATTGGAGCTGGGTTTCAAGCCATGATCCTCACCATGGCCATCGTGGTGTCCTGTGTCTCAAAAAAGTTACATATTTAGCGGAAGAACTGTGGAATTCGAACAGACCTCGCTCGCCTCTTCTCCCCTTGCCGCCGCTAACGTTAAGTTAATACTTAAGTTGATAATAACTTATCAGTGTCCTAAGGCCGATTATGAGAAGAGGAAGTGAGAAGAGAGAAGAGTAGTTAACTAACGTATTTCCGGCTTGCTCTCGAATCCGAAGAATGCGGGAGCCGTATCGTATCGAGCTCCCTCCGGCCAGCCATATATACATATTATTATTTATTCTTCTACCGAACGTTCCGTATTCTTCGACTAGTACGGAGTTAGTCCGTAGTTACCGATGTCGTTATCCGCAGCAGAGAACAGGGCTAAGTTAGTTAACTTTACTCACTACTGGCGAGATCTTCGATTTCTTCGACGGCTCAACCAACTAGTAGGGATGTAGGGATGTAGGGATGTCCCCAGCTCGCCATGCAACTTTAACCCATCCTCCTTGTCTTGTCCTCCTCTCCTCATCTTATGGACATGAATGCACGCGGTGGAAGTCTGTTACATGCTCAGCTCGGCTCAGCTCAGCTCCACCAACCAGCCCAGCCATGTCCCCCGAAGCGGAACACTCCCCATCGTCGCTACATGAAAGGGGACTAACTAACTATATTCCCATCCTAGAGTAGTTGATGTAGCCAAGGATATCAAGCCGTTTCTTCGGCCAGATTCAGTTTTTTACTTTTTTTATTTTATTTTATTTTTTTCATTTTCTGTTCCTTGCCTGAAGCTGCCAATAATGCCCCGCCCTTGTTTGCTTCTTCTTCCCCCTCCCCTCGTAGTTCTACAAGTCTGGGCTTTTCTGTGCGGTGTTCTTGGAGGATTCGGGATAACAATCGAATCTCGGACGAAGAGAAACAAAACCAGCCAGCCCCGACCGTTAGGAGTCCGTCTTCACTATTATTATTAAACAGTCTTCTTACGCGCTTGTCTAACTAGCTCTTTTTTTTTTTTTTTTTTTTTTTTTTTTTTTTTTTTTTTTTTTACTTTTTTTGCCTTTGCTCTCTCTCCCTTGGTCATTTTTTTAGTGCTCTGCTACACATCTACTCGCGGGTCAACTTTTGCCCTTTTTGTGTGTTACAATGACTGCTGGAAGTTTACCTTATTAATATTTCTTTCCCCCAGGTCCGAAATTTTATACTCACCCAACATCGGACCAGCACCTAACGGCCGTCAAGAATCATGGCCAAGGAGAATTTGGTTGAGATGGATGTTCATCCATTAGACGGCCAAAGTCAAGACGGAGTACTCTCCACTGATTCCAGTGAGGCAAAACCGTCCTCAAGCCCCGAAGTGGTTAACGCCTCAGGGCACAAACAGGAGCTGCACCGCAACTTCAGCCTGTTAAGCATTTGTGCCATTGCGATCACCACAGGAAACTCATGGACCGCAATGGGCGGCAGTCTCGTATGTTGTTATAACCCTCGTACACTGGAGAAGAAGAAGAAGAAGAAGAAGAAGAAGAAGAAGAAGAAGAAAGAGAAGCATAGGAATGATTCTTAGAGGAACGCGTATAAGTTCTGACCTTCTCGTTGCCGTAATAGACTGTCGCTATTTACAACGGTGGACCGCCTGGTGTTATTTACGAATTGTGAGTTTTCAGTCACCCCGTATGCAAGAACTCTCCATATACTTGACATTTTCTAATACGGGGATCTACTGTAGCATTGCCGTCGCAATATGTTACTGGTTTGTTGCAGCGTCCATTGCTGAATTGGCTTCCGCGATGCCATCAGCGGCGGGAGGTAAGCCGTGCTCCGATGCAGACCATCAATGGGGAATCATGCGAGTTCGCAGCTAACTAGACATTGGATCATAGTCTATCACTGGGCGAGTGTAACAGCAGGGCGATATGGTCGCCCCGTAGGCTGGCTCGCTGGCTATTGGAACTTTTTCGCCTGGGTATTTGGTGCTGCCTCCATAGCTTCAATTCTTGCCAATCAGACCGTGTCAATGTACATGCTCTTCCATCCGGAGTTGGAACCACAGGCATGGCATGTGTTTGTCAGCTATCTCATCTGCTCGTGGTTGTGCTGCTGCATTGTGATGTTCGCCAACAAAGCATTGCCGGCCACCAGTAATGTGGGCATGTTCCTTATCATCGGCGGTGTCATTGTTACGATTCTGGTCTGCGCCATTATGCCCCACGTGAATGGGACCGGATATGCCTCGAACGCCTTTGTCTGGAAGGACTGGGAGAACCAAACCGGTTATTCTAGCAATGGTTTCGTCTTTGTCGCCGGCATGCTTAATGGTGCGTACTCCGTCGGCAACCCAGACATCACGAGCCATGTTGCAGAGGAGATCCCCAGGTACGAATCTCTCTGTTATTAGAGACAACTGGATGTGTCTTAGCTATAGCTATCATTTGCTACTTGCGTACTAATCAAACCCTCCAACTCACTAGACCAAGTCGCAACATCCCCAAAGCCGTCTTGGCTCAAATGATTACGGGTTTTATCACTGCCGTAACCTACATGGTAGCCCTCCTCTACTCCATCAATGACCTCCCTGCCATCCTCGAGAACAAATCCACCTTCCCCCTAGCTGAAATCTACCGACAAGCCACCGGCTCCAGCGGCGGTGCCCTCGGCCTCCTCATCGTCGTCTTCCTGCCCACCTTCATCACCTGCATCGGCTGCTACATCACCGCCGGGCGCACGCTCTGGACCCTGGCCCGCGACAACGCAACCCCATTCAGCGGCTGGACGTCACGCGTCAGTGGCACCTTCCACAACCCTTTAAACGCTACCTTCGTCTGCGGCTGCATCGTGACGGTCATGGGCTGCATCTATGTAGGCTCGTCAACGGCATTTAGTGCGCTCGTCGGCTCGTTCGTGCAGCTTTCGTCGCTGTCATACACCGCTGCGATCCTGCCACACCTACTGGGCGGGCGCTCTACGGTCCGGCCCGGCTATTTCTTCATGCACGGCTGGATTGGGTACATTGTCAACACAGTTGCATGTCTGTACATGATGGCGTTCATTGTGATATTCTCGTTTCCGTTCGCGCTGCCGGTCACGGCGCAGGATATGAATTATACTTCGCTGATTACGTGGGGATTGACGATTTTCGTTGCGATATGGTGGCTGTTCAGAAAGGGGAATTACGTTGGGCCCAAAGCGGTACCGCTGGGAGAAGTGGTGTTGGCGAAAGATGCGCTGTGATCTCGTGCTTTCTTCTTTTTTTTTTCATCCCCTTTCCTCGAACCGAGGGTCTTCCCCTCTCTATCAAAGGGGCTGTATTTTTGGATATATACTGCCTCGACTCCGGGGGGGGGGGGGCAGAAGTGTAACCTGGACGGGTTAATATGCTGGGAGAGCCGGGGAAACCTCTTCCTCTCTACCCCATTCTCATAGACATCTAGATCGTATATGTTGTATTCATTTGATGTCGTGTACATATATGTATGTATATATATCTCCTCGACACTCGCCTCTAAAAAGATTTACTAATAAGTTAGAGTGTAATATATTTAATTTCACAGACCTGCTCGATTAATTATCCCTCGTCATCATTAAAAATTATGTCTTCCCAACGCTTTAACCTGCATTTCTTACGGATTGAGTGCGGGTAGACGGGCAAGCGCTTGCTTTCGGGGCTTGACGATTGGAGATTTGTGAATTAATATATTTATATTCCACCATCAACAGCAATGCGGTGATTCCCTTCGAATTTAAGATCGAAAAATCTCTTGAAGAAGCGTTTGTGCTCTGCCGCAAGTTGATAGAGGAGCAATTACTCGGTAAAGTGCTGCGGAAAGAATCTTTTGCTGCAATGAGTTACGCCCACAAAATTCAACAGGATGCACATATTATGTAGCTGAATCTGACTCTGTAATTACTACGGTAATGCCCCGGTATTTTCGGTAGTTCCACCATAATATTTTAGTGGCATTTTAACCATCATTCTGGGGGGGTATACGTGACATTCTCGCGTTGAGCGCGTTCTCATTATTATAGAATAATCCATAGAGGAATCAATAATCATATTAATATCTAGTATAGCCACCACCTGCCTGTATAACTGCCTGACAGTGAGCTGGCATCTCTGCTATAAGCTCCCGTAGCTGCTCCTCTCTTATAGCATCCCAGGCAGCTCTAACCACTCCTTGAAGTGCATCCATCATAAGACAGATTCTCCTCATCCCCCATGGTTCTCCTGTATCCACACCTTCATATGATTCCATACAGTCTCAATTGGGTTCAAATCCAGAGAATAGGGCGGCCAGTATGCTTCTGAGGAGTAGCTGTACCCAGATTGCATCTGTATTGAACCCCTCAATAGGTAATCTCAAGGTGATTGGAGATCCTTTTCATAAGTCCAACCAAGACTGTGAAGAAGAAGAATATCTCAACATTGATCACAGGTTAATTGCTTTGGAGGTGTAGCAGGAGGTTCCGGATCTTCTGGAGGTGCAATTAGAGGTTCAAGAGCAGCAAGGAGGTCCATCTTGATAGAGAATAATAAAGAATAATAGAGCGCGTACGAGAATGAAGAGAAGAAGAATCTTCTATTTGTATGGGGATGATTGAGAACCCGCCCACCCCGGACCGGATTGATGGTTAGAATGCCACTAAAATATTAGGGTGGAACTACCGAAAATTGAGGGTCATACCAGCGCAAGTTCCCTCCGGAGGTGAGCTCGCAATTGGCCGGTTTGAAGCCGCAACCGTCGTGGCGCAAGCGCTAGAAATAGAATCATGAGTATCCTATGCTGGTCTTTCGTTCCTTGTCTATTCTTCCCCCATACGAGAAAGGGTGCTCGAAGTCAACCTATCTATCCATCCATCCGTGTCTGTTCTGTTAAGCCAACTCATCAGACAACGATTTGGACCTCCACCATTTGCCGGATGTGGTTTGGTCGGTGATACGCGTCCCCTTCCAGAAGTTCCACTCCAAGAAGCGAGAGGATACGGAGCTAACGCCCAGAACAACGTCAACCATTCCATCTCTTGCGACAACATCGTGCTGCGATGGCGGGGGGAACGCTCATTTTCTGTCTGTGATCATGTAATCTTTCTAGCCTTCGAAGAGCTGCCGGAGCGCTAAGCGCATGAGCATACGTAACGTAATCAACCACCTAACGCTCGTTTACACCTAACGCTCGCACAAATCTTACCTCAATCTCCATGTTCAAACACCCACAACATGGACCACG